GTTAGGAACAATGGTAAATACAGCATTGGCATCTCAGGTGTGGCTCGGCATTTGGGGAATGAGGGCCATGCAAACTAGAGGCTTCAGCACGGACAAGGATCCTGAGAGTTCTTCTGGCTCAATCCGAGAAAACGGTGGTGGGGCCTTTGGAAAGAGACAGCAGGCTGAAAAGCAGTGATTCTTCTGACAGAAGACTAGAGAACAACTGGCAGCCCTGAAGAAATATCATGAAGATGAGATCTAGCATCATAAAAAGGAAATTGAGCGTATGGCGAAAGAAACTAAAAACTAAAGAAGATAGAACTAAAACATGATTAAATGCACATGTTCCCCATAGAATGGCATCTATCATTTACCACTTCTATGTAGACATAGTCCTGGTCTAATTACTATTTGGTCTGTATGCTGCAAACATAATAAATTGTCATCAGTGGGAAAAAAAAAGAAATTATGACATGTGCTGCAAACATGGATGAACTCTAAGACAATATGCTAAATGAGATAGACCAGGTGCAGAAGGATCAACACCATGATTCCATTTCTATGAGGTACTTGGAGTGGTTAGAGTCATAGAAAAAGAAAATAGAATGGTGATAGCCAGGGCCTGTGGAGGAGAGTGAAATGGGGAGTTAGCATTTCAGTTTGAGAAGGTAAGAAAAGTTCTAGAGATGGACAGTGGTAATGGTTGTACAATATAAAAGTACAATACTGAATGCCACTGAACTTGCACTGGCCAAGGTACAAAAAAAAAGACACATGGAGACTGGGTGTGGTGGATTATACCCAGCGCTTGCTTGGGAGTCCCATCTATGTAGTAAGACCCTGTAGACCCTGTACTAAATACAAAAAAAAAAAAAAAGACACAACTTAAAGAAAGGAGGTTTAAGATGGCTCACAGTTGTAGAGGTTTTAGTCCATGTTGGCTGGCTCCAAGATAGAGATATCATGGGAGAAAGGTGGAGCTGCTCACCTCACTGTGGCTGAGAAGCAGAGTGGATGGAAAGAACCCCATCAAGAGATACACCTCCACAAGCACATCCTTGGTGACCCACCTCTAACTGAGCCTCATCGGCTGGCAGCACATCCACTGATGAGGACAACATGATCTGATCACCTCTCCAGCAGTCTCTTAATTCAAGCAAGCTGACATCAAGCATCACCAAGCTGTATACTTCAAAATGGTTAAACTATAAAATAGTAAATTTTATATGTATTTTGCAACCATAAGAAAAGTAAAGGGAAAAAGGTTTTACTAAATCCATATTGCAGAAAGATTGTTTTTCAGTAAACTAGGATAACACAGAGGGAAGAAATCCATGTACATCAGTCCTCAACAGCCATTAACCAGATAAAGCAAATTTTACTTATAAATTCCACTTTACATAGCTCTTTCTTTGTTCAATTAGAGATAGAAAATAAGGTAGTGAACAGAATCTAGGACTCATAAGAAACTAATAAAATGGGCTGCCTATGAAGTAATGGTGAGTGGATGGAGACAGAACAGGGAGGGATGTTTCTCAGTTGTGGGAAGCCATTAACTGGTATCCATTTTATAATAGTGTCAGCCATTTTCTTAAGTTTCTATTCCCCTGCTGAGTTAAGTTTATGGTCCTTCTCACCTTGCCCATTCCCTGTGAATCATGTGCTATGCCCCAGGGCTGGCACCTTCCCGTTGCCTAGATGCCTGCTGACCCCCTAGAGCAGAGACTTCCTCATTCCTACACCCCCTCTATATACCCAGCACCTCCCCTGAACAAACGAGACTTGATCAGAATCCTGTCTTGTCTCCATTCTTTGTGTCTCCTGTCCCTTTTCATCCCCACTCCCCCTCTAGGGTCCTCGTTGACTAACCCGCAGGTCGGGACACTCAATGTGTACATTTTTATGTATCATTTTGATTTATGAACCAACTGAACTGTTAATGTTTTAAAAATTAAATTAAATTTAAAAATAAAATAAGTTGAGGAAGCCAAGAAGAATGCTAGATCTCCTGAAATCCAGAGGAGTTGAGTGAAACAGCAGTAAATTGTAGATCCTAGGAACCTCTAACACTTAGCACCATCTGTCTTGGCAATGGGGCAGCCCAGCATGGGAAAAAGAGAAGGAATAAAACAAGTTAGTTGGTTGTGTCATTTCAACATGACAGTGATCCCCTCAGCAAAACCCTAGAAGGGTCTACTCTCTTAAGTCTTTCTATAGGAGAAGGTTAGAGTCTGGAGAAAAAGTCCCTTGAATTCCTTGTGGGCCGAGAACCTACAGTTCCCGTAGTCCTCATCCTTATAACATCCTTTAGGAAATCTAGTGGTTAAGGCCATGCCTGACACAGTCATCCTGTTAGGTAGCAATCTATTCATTAGCATGCTGGTGAGAGGCAGGAAGGGGAGCTACTTAAAAGGCAAAGATATGATTGTTTTTTACATTCTTAATCATTAGCTATGGGGCTGGGAAGATAGCTCAGTAGAATAAGCGCTTGCCTGGCAAGTGTAGGTCCTGAGTGCAATCCCTGGTACTGCCAAAAAAAAAAAAAAAAAAAAAAATCATTAGCTATGGATAAGATACACACAAACTAGTAGTTTCAGACTTTAGCTGAGAGAATGTAACATTCTCTAAATGTACTGGTAAGGTTCAGACAATTGGTGAGGGTTAGAAAAACCTCAAGATCTCAAAACAGTTTAAATGGAGACATCCACCTAAGGAGTAAAGAGAAGCCTTGTTGGTACACAGAGCTCATTTTATCTGTACAAGAACAATGAAATAGGGAGCACTATAGGGAAGGTGAACAGGAAGAATCCTGAGCTCTTACTTCTTCTCACTAAATAAACATGATTTGTGTTTTCTCCTGGGACAGCCAGGGATTTCAAAGCCATTTTTGCCATGAACTCTTCAGATAGGCTTATAGATGTCCAGTAGGTAACTAAGTGCAAGACAAAGTTTGATTTTCATTCTGTGTCCTTTGTTGCTGTGAAATTTAGGTCAAATCTCTTCTCAGCTCTAACATATAGATAATTAATCATTTAGGGAGTGCTTATCTAAAAATTGGCAAAAAAAGGTTGATTAAAAAGAAAATGATTACTAACCCTAAGTTTTCATAACTCACCACATCTGAGGATGGGGGATTTCCAGGAACGTTTAGCTGTGTCTTGAAGTTTCCAGTAGTAGGGGTGTTGTAGCACAATGTGAAGGACCCGTGTACAAATCCCAGTACCACACACACACACACACACACACACACACACACACAAAAGTGATCAGAGACAATGAAAATCAAGCAAGATGGGGCAAAGGTACTAGCTTCGTCCTGGAGGGTGGGAGTCTGAGTTGTCTTTAAATTGAACAAGCCAGGGCTGGCGAGATGGCTCAGTGGTCTAAAGCACCTACTTGGAACAAGCTTGGCAAAGCACAGGGACCACGGTTTGATCCCCCAGCACCACATGCCAGCCAGCCTCGCCCCCTGGTGGGCTGAGCTGGCCACACACACACACACACACACACACACACATAAATAAATAAATGTTTAAAAAAAAAAAAAGGATTACATTAAAAAAAAAAAAATAAATTAAAAAGCCAGTATTTCTAGACCCTCTGCCCCAAATACTGACACCTGGTGGTACCATCCTTATCTTCTTCTATTTAAACACACTGTAATGATTCTGGTCTCCTCAGCCTTCTCAGTGCTGTGTTCACAGGTTTGTACCACCACACCCAGCTTATGAATGTTAGTTCTTATTTTCCAGGCTGGTCTCAAACTTTTTTTTTTTTTTTTTTTGTGGAACCGGGGATTGAACTCAGGCCCCTGTGCTTGCCAGGGAAGCGCTTATTCCACTGAGCCATTTCCCAGGCCCCCTTCTTGTTTTTTTGAGACAGGATCACGCTATATAATCTAGGCTGGCCTTGAACTCATAAGTAGTCTATATTGGCTTGTAACTCGCAGTGATCTTCCTGCCTCAGCCTCCCAAGTGCTGGGATTACAGGTGTGTGCCACCATGTCTGGCTGCATCTTCTTTGTGTCTTCTTGAGATGGCTTTTTTTTTTTTCCCCCCCCTGGAAACAATTACATTTAATCTGTCTGCACCTCTAGGATCTCAGGTGTAAGTTGGGGACAGTGTAGCTTCACAGGGCTGGGGGTGGGGGCAGTTGAAATGGTGTACATGCTGTCATATGAGTCACTGATGTCCATGAGCAGTTGCCTGCTGCTCAGGGGCCTCTGGAAGTGGGCAAAGGTTTCTGAGACAGGTGAGTGACAGGGAGTAGAACTCCCTGACCAACTGCCTGTCCTGTCACACTAGCCTCAAGGGCCACTGACTGGCAGGTCCCCGCAGGGACAAGATGGCCATCCTGGGTGGGGATTCGTGGAGACTTATTTTGTTTTGCTCCAGCTGACAGAGGCTCTGTGGGGAGGCACCTTAAGCCACCTCAGGCAGTACATGGCTTTGCCTAGCAGCCTGAAAAGGACTTCCCTGGCAGATCCCTGCCAATGGTTAGCTCAGTAAGCCTGTGACTGTGCAAGGCCTATTCCCTCATCATGTGTTATCTGTGGAGAGGTGAAATGTAAAATTAAAAACAAGAAGTGCCCTCAGCGCCTAGCAGGCACCCTGTGTCTCCTCTGAAGAGGGTCCAGCAGGCACCCTCATGACTTCCTAGACTCAGCACCTGCCCTGCAATAGTGTCACTCCCTCTCCAGACCCTATCCCTTTTGGGACAGAATTATTTCTGGGAGGCTGACAGTAGTTGGAGAGGATTGGTTGTAACCAAATCTCAAGAAACCAGAGCCCTCAGCAGCCATGGTGGGTGGGAGAATATACCCATCGGTGGAGACATTTGGTTATTTGACTAAAACAGAGATATACAGGTGCCAATGGTCCTGTGAGGAAGCAGAGAACAGAGGCGTGTGACCTCTGTACATAGCTGCTGCTGCTGTGACTGTGTGCTTGTGAGTGCCAGCTCACTGTGGCAGGAGTCCTGATCAGGACCTTTGGCTTTGCGGGTGGGATGGGAAACCAGCAGGTGAAGTAGAGGACAACGCAGCACATGCAGATCAAAGCTGCTCGTCTTCACCCACTGTGTGGCCCTGGCTCAGCTGTGCAGCCTCTCAGACTGCGTCTCCATTTTCCATGCGTTGCAGGTTTGTCTTACTGGGTAGTTACAGAATTACATAGAAAAAAAAAATAGATGATGAGGCTCACCAAAGTTGATCCTGGCCCCTTGTGCTGTGTGGCTCAAACAATACCAAAGTGGTGACACACTTAGGGACAGCAGGGATGAGGTCAGGAAAGGTAGATAGACTTCCTGCAGCAACACCCCTCAGCCTTGTGTTCTGGGGCATGGATGCAAAGCATGCCACCATCCTCAGCCTTCTGGACCCCCATGACGGTTTCTTCTTCATGGCCTTTGGAGAAAACCTGCAGTTTCTCTCACTGGAAGTAGGCAGGACACATGACTGCTTTGGAGTGTGAGCAAGCATGTGAAGGACAGTTACACACAGGATTCTGTTGGCAGCACGCAGGGAGAACACCGTGAGGGGAAGGAAGGACTGTTCCATTGTTGCCCTGTGGTTCTTGGGGAGCCAGGGGGCAATGGAGCAGCTTCCTGACAATCCTGAGTCTCATCAGGATGAACTGAGTCCTGACTTCTGGGTCATCAGTTTGGTCTTGTGGCAAATGATTTTAAATTGTGTACTGAATGAAACACAGATACATTACAGAGGATGATGCAACATTCATATTCACTTAAAATAAAGCAGGATTTAAAAACCTAATTATGGTCCAAACTGCCCTTTCACACCCTTCCCAAACTCAGGTTCCCATTTGTTCTCATCTGTGGTTAGGGCTACTTCAGGGGGAATTTGGGGAAAGACTGAGAAGCACCACCCCAAGGTAACTTCTTAATGAAGATGGGTGGGTTATCTACTTTTTTCCCCTCCAAGTTCACGGAATTAGAAGCAGGGAGCACTGAGCTACATCCCCAGCCCTTTTTTTTTTCCCCCCCAGTATGAGTCTTGCTGAGTTTTCCAGACTGGTCTTGAACTTGTGATCTTCCAGTCTCAGCCTTCTGAATAGCTAGGATTATGAGTATGGCCTACCAGCCCAAAGTGGCATACTTATTTATGGCAAAATCCCCCAATGGTCTCAGGTTTTGAAAGGATCAAGTCAACAGGCCAGAGGGGAACCTAAGTAAAGCAAAACCAGAAGCAACAACCAAGCATCAAGGGAGTTGAACTCCTTTGAGAGGCGAACTCTTTTGAGAGGCAGTCAAAGTCTTGAGAGGTGACAAGGCTTATTTAATGTCCCCAGTCAAGGTTGGGGCAATGCTGAGAACACTAGGGCCCTCTTCCTACCAATCTCACCGGAAGGGCAGCTCTGACCTTGAATACTATAAAACTAAACAGACTTTAGCACAAAGTAAAGGCTCACAGAACCACCTTCTCAGGTTCTAAATCTCTGCCTGTGGGCAGTCTCTGTAGGAGAGAACCCTGAGGGCCAATCCAGTCGGAGGGACACCTCCCCTCCAGGACAGCTCTGGCAGGGAGGAGGCAAAGCAGTCCATGAAAATGCAGATGTTTCTGTTAGAATATAGTGAACTTTTCACACACAGGGCTCCCTCATGTGGAGGGAGGCCTATCTTCAGACTGGGAAGATAGGGGTGCAGTGGGGGGAGGGGGCAGCAGCAGGGGCATGGAGGGCCTTAGCCTCCTTCACATGACAGAAAGGAGCACATCCTCCAAGGTCCCCAGGTGCACTGCCCCCCTGGGGTCTGAAGGACACCTACTACCAGCATAAACAACTCTCTAGGTGTCCTGTTTTACTCTGTATCAACATGACTTTGACAATTCATTCTACAGTAGAGCTGGAACAAAATGTCCTGCCCCACTGATGCGGTACCCCAGAAGAGTGGGGCAGCACCTGCAATCTACCCTCTGAGGTTATGTCAATACCTACCACCCTGTAGATGGAGATGGCACCTTTTGGTAGGGATGTGAAGACCCCAAGCTCCTGGAGGCAAGGTGATTTGTTGAGCCTGTGGCAGGTCTGATGGGCCAGGTCCACCTCATCCTCTGCTACCCTTCATCCCCCACCGCCCTTTCCAACACTGCATCAACAGTCACCCTGAGCAGGAATCAAATAAAGGCCGCATGCTTCCCAAACACCCTTTTAAACAGTGTGTTGTGCTGGGCTCATTCTTAGAGAGCATGAGCAAGGACAGAGAACCAGGACCTGGGGCTTCGCCTGTAGTCAGCAGTGTGACCTTGGAAGTTCAATTCTTGGGACTTTATTGTCTCTATCTGAACAGATGCGCGCAGGACGAGGGGGTTTCTAAGCTTTTGGTATACTAGACCTTTCCACATTGTGGACGCCACCCCCAGGAATCTCCTTGTGCCCCTTTCTTCAACCACACAAAAAGTTGAATACTGCCAGTTTTCTATTCCTTTTTAAAAAAATAAAAGTTTAAAACAACATTCTAAGGCCCCATTTTTTTAAGACAAGGCAGCTGCGACATTGTCTCCACCACCCTAACTGCTTATTTCTTTCTCCCTATGACACAGGTGTCAAGGAGCTGAGGGGCCCTGGGACACAGCGTGTGGGTCCCACTCTCAAAGGCCCCGCCCACAATGAATCACTCTAACTCTACCCATCCTGGTAAGTCTTGTCATCCTGGGGCTCTCCAGGTATCCAGGTTTCTGGGGATGGAGCTGAGATCCAGATATGCCTTAGGTTCCATCTGCTGTAGTCACATGACTGCCTGGCTGAGGTCCCCCAGGTTCCCAGCCAGTACCAACTTCCCCATCTTTAAAATAGAGTTCATAAAATGATCATCAAAGGCTGCCCGGAATGGCACTCAGATCTATTCCCAGGCAGGGAGGCAGGGGAGAGTTACTGAGATCATCAGGATAGGCACAGGAAGGGGAAGCACACAGGGGCGCTTCCTCTCATCTTGCATTGTCCACAGCAGAGACCTGAGGGATGCTGGGGCCAGACGGCACCAAAGGCTTCTGTGCGGACATCCATCTTCCAGAGCTAACAGGCTGGGGAGCACTTACTGAGTTTGCAGCAGAGCCTGGGCTAAAACCAGTTCTCCAGACATGTTTAAGTATTTTCCACATTTTAGAAAATATGGTGCTTAGTTCTGCTTTGAACTTGCTCATGAACTTCCCTTTTTTGGATGACTCATAAACTAGATAATCTATCGCAATAGTCTAGTTTATGACTCAGAAATATTACTGCTGTAAATTCCTGCCACTAAAGTTCATGAGTTAGCTTTAGTGATGCAGGAGGGACTGGATCACACCTTTAGGCAGTGGGGAGAGAAGAGGACTCAGGTGTCATGTCATCCTCTCTGTTGGCAGCTGCCTTAGGAGGTTGGGGGGGGGGCAGGACATTCAAGGCCCAGCAGCCCGAGTGGCTTCAGGGTGAAGAGGGAACAATGGGTAGCAGCAGAGACCCTCCAGGAAGCTCAGCTGGCCTCATTGATGGGAGTCCGGCTGTTGCCCAGCAGTCTCTCTCGCTCGCTCTCCTGCGCAGAGTGCCGGCACCGGGATAGGCAGGCTAGCAGGGGGTAGTGCAGCCCATTGTAGAGGGCGGTGCCCATCAGGAGGATGAGGAAGCCAAGGATCTGCAGCGGGTGGAAGTTCTCCCAGCCCAGTGCCAGGCTTACGGCCCAGATGACCACGGTGCGCAAGCTGTCCAGCACCATGCGTGTAGTGGCACTCAGTTCCTTGGTGACACTGATGCCCGCAAAGTTGAAGAAAGCAATACTGCTGATGTTGCCCAACAGAGCCAGGGCAATGAGTGGCTGCCGGCCAATCTGACAGAAGGCATCCAAGGCATCCTCCAGGGTCCCTTGAGGGTTTCCACTTAAGGAGCCAGCGGGGATGTAATACATAGGCACCAGGAGCAGCAACAGGATCACGAAGCCGAAGAGGCCTGGGTAGTACAAGAAGGGACGGGTTACTGTCTGTATGTTGCCCTAAGTGCAGCAGCCTCTGCACTTAGGCTGCTCCATCTGTTCAGCTTGCTGTGATCCACTGCTAGGCCCACTCCTCCACCTCTTAGGGAACATGGACTTATGCAAAGGGCTCTGGCTGCCCTTTCTCCACTTTATCCCAGTGGCTTTGAATTGGGGCAAGAATAAGAAATCCATTTTATACTGTGACCCCCAGTGCATGTCCTCAGGCACACAAGTATGCACACACATCCCCAAACACCAACTTCCCTTACTATGTACAATGCTTGCTGATGTTTAAATCCTATTCTGTTCATCTGAAAATGAATTGCTGGCTTCCATGCACTGTACTGCTTTTTTTTTTTTTTTGGTGGAACCAGGGATTGAACTCAGGCCGTTGAGCTTGCCAGGGAAGCGCTTATTTCACTGAGCCATCTCCCTGGCCCCTGTACTGCTTTTTAAGTTTGCTAAAACACAGCTAATTCAGCATGCAATTGGTCTGTGATAGGAAGCCAGCTTGCGCCAGGACGTAAGTAAGTGCACAGCTTCATTCATAAAATCTTACTAGAAAACAAACAAACAAACAAAGAACTAAAAAAAATGAGTGGGAACAAATAGTATGTTTTCAATGTAACTGTCTGGTAAGATAGCTCAGCAGACTAAGCGCCTGCTTAGGCAAGTGGAGGGACTGGGGTTTGATCCCAGGCACCACAGGCTGCACCAGGTGTGGTGGCATATGCCTATAATGCCAGTGTTGGGGAGGCTGACAACAGGAAGATCACTATGAGTCTGAGCTGCATACTGAGACCTTGCACAAATACATAGAAAAAAATAAAAAGAAAGAAGAAATAACAGGAATACCCATAATGTATTTAAAACCTTATAAAGCACATCTCAATGTAACTGATTTCTATTCAGACATCAGCAACTCTGCCTGCACTGGGTCAGAGCCAAGGGTTTGCTAATCTTATATTTTTAAAGGTGTAATTTTTTTTTTTTTAATTTATTTGTGTATTTGGTATAGGATTTCACTACAAAGATTGGACAGGTGGTGATCCTGTTTTTAGCCTCCTCAGCACTGGGATTACAGGTGTGTGCTACCATTCCCGAACTTGTTCACTGGCTCAGTGTGCCCCAGGGGAGGGGCTGGCATGGCATGCAGGTAAAAGCGTAATTTTGATAATTGATTTTCTGCTCAAAAACCTTTGATGGGGCCGGGAAGATAGCTCAGTAGAAAAAGCTCTTGCCTGGCAAGCACAAGATCCTGAGTTCAATCCTCACTACCGCAAAACCAAACCAAACCAAACCAAAACAAAACAAAACAAAACAAAACAAAACAAAACACCAAAGCTTTGATGGCTCCTTCTGCTTGGTACTTAGCCTAAATCTACTTGCCTGACACCAGGGCTCTCCACGTTAGGAGCCTCACTAAATTCCCTATTATTTCCCCAATAATAAGACCTACACTGTGCCCTAATTATTCACACTGGTTTCCAAACTTGCCCTGCCTGTATCCCACTCCTGCCTATTGGAATCTGTGACTCTAATGACATCTTTCTTGCCCTGAGACTCACTTGAGCAAAACTAGTCCCATCTCAGGTACTCTGCATAGCCCATTCTTCTTGCTGGTTACCTCCAACAAAAAGGGGACATCTTTATCCTTGGTCTCCCCCAGCCCAGCCCAGCAGATGTTAGAGGGTCTGTCAACTCCCACCTAAGGAAGGTAGGGGCAGGAGGCTCACTCTCCCCTCCCTCAACCAGTGATCACACCTGCCCTTTGTTCCCTACTGTGATTGATGACACATGCTGCTCTTCAGCATGTCCTCCCTTCCAGCTACTCCTCCCTGGCCTTTGCCCACACTCACCCTCTGTGCCCACTGCCCGGAGTGGGTGCACGTTGTGTTTATAGACAAACTTCTCTTCCAGTACCATCTGGATGGCGACAATGATCTGGGCCATGATGATCAACAGGTCCCCTGAGGAAAGGAGAGCTAGATGAAGCCAGGACAGCAAGAAGGCTGGGGCCGGTGGGGGGGTGACCGGAGGGTCCCAGGGACAGAACATATCAGCTCCTAATTTTCCCACTTGCTATACAGTTCACAAGGCACAGTCCTGACTGCCATTCCTGATTCCCTGATGCTGGAGGTCAAACTGCCGGGCCTGAGGAGTGCAGTTCAGGGTACGTGGCTTTGTAAGAAGAATGTATTTGAGACAGATGTTTCTGGTTTATTTCTGACTCTCAGTACTCAGAGTGGTCACTGAACCAGAGTGGGCTGTGATGGTTTCCTCTGGGGGACTGGGAGGGCACCTGTGACAAGGATGACTCTGTCTCAGAGCCAGGCTGTGCACATGCTTAGGGTTCAATAAGTAGTCCTTCCAGGTCTCTCCAAGTGGTAGTTGGCTTATGAATCCCAGCACCCAGCAGCCCCCTGTTCTGCCTTCTGGCTCCTCACCTGCCTTACAAACATGGCTCCCCACTCTTCTTTGCTGCAGACACACACCTCTCCAGTCTCCCCCTACACTCTTTCTGACCCCTTGGTGGCAGGAGTATGCCCTCAGTCATGACCTGCACATGGTAGAGTTTGCATAAGTCTGTGGGATGACTGTGCCAGGCTCCCCAAGAGTACAGGACAGAACAGACATGATGAACCGCACCTGTGATCACTTCACTGAGCTTGTGCTCACTGCTGTGCTTGCTCAGGAGGTCGGCCAGGCCCACGACCACCAGCCCCACGATGGTGGCTAGGATGCCCAGCCACTGGCTGGGTGCCAGCCTCCGGCCCAGGAAGGCCACTGAGAACAGGCCTGTGAATATGATCACTGAACCTCGGAGCATCTGGAAGCTGGAGGCACTGGTCATGTTCAGGGCTAGAAGAGAGATACGACGGTTAGCTCTTGAGGTCAAAGGCTGGCTGCCCCCAAGCTGGAGTCGAGCCAAGTATAGCATATTGAAAGCATTCACTAACCTTGGTGCTGTACACATGTGTGTGACATATATGGGAGAGTTTGGGGGTACCACTTCCCTGGTGGCTCCTTCAGGCCAGAGCTTGGCTACTCACCCACATACATGATGCTGGTCCCGGTCATGTCGCAGAGGGCCGGGGGCAAGAAAAGAAGGGGGTTGAAAGGCTGCTGGGGGTCCACACTGGAGTCTGACCGCCTTGAGGCTCTACACCGGAGCAGGTAGAAGGCAGCCAGGCAAGAGAACTCTCCCAGGAACATGCCCACTGCCTGCAGGGACAGGAAGTTGAGGACTCAGTAACTGAGGGTAACCCCAGGGGGGACCTTGTCCTTATAGCTTGTACTGTTTTTAATGCCATTTTTCTTCATGAAAGAGCTTACCTAGAATGCTGACCTCTCAAACAAAAGCAGAGCTGCTGTGGAAGCCACACAGCCTTCTGGGTCCGTCCCACAGCCCCTCAGGGCGTGTGATCCACCCAGACAACCCCTCCTCAAATTCCAGGTGAAGCAACTGAGGCTCAGAAAGCTTCAGACCTGTGGAAGGCCACAATGAAGAGTCTGACATGGCTGGGACTGAAATGCGAGTCACCTGGTTCGCAGGCGGCAACACGACGACTTCCACTGACAGGGACCGCCCTATTCCGGTGGATGCCCAAGGGCCTAGTGCATGCAGGGCAGGCTGCTGCCATGGGCCAGTGCGTCCCATGTATCCTGGTTGGGTACGGTGAGGGCACGACCACTTGCTGGGGTTCAGCCTGCCTGCAGAGGCCTGTGTCCTCCATTTCTCTGCCAGGGGCACATGAAAACCCTGGCCTTGTTCTAGCGAAGGACTTTGAGAGGCAGACAGCTCTCCTGGAAGCAGGGGAGCTCTCCTATGCCTCCAGGAGGCCCGTCTGATCCTGGGAGACAGCAGAGGGCCAGGGCCCATACCTGCAGGAAGGGGTGCTGGAAGTTGTGCTTCTCGCTTCCTCCACAGCCCTCGGCCTTGAATCTGTCTGCCCACCTGCAGCAGAGATAGCACAAAGGTCAGCTTGGCAGTCCGGAGCTCCCTCCTCCTGGTGCCAAGAGGTCCACACTCGGAGTACTGGCCCCCACAGGGGCACCTCTCACAGGGGCCAGGCTCTTCAGCAAGAGTTTTAAATCTGAAATTCCACTGCAGTACTGCAGCAAATACCAGAAATCACATTAAAATAACAGTATATATGATGCAGTAGCAATTGATGTTCATTACTCAGCAAAATAAGCCACTGGATCCATTAGTTGAAATTTAATGTATTAAGAAATATATGTATACAGTGCTACATTGCAAATTTGCTTGTCAGTGCGTGGCAACTTTTTTTTTTTTTTTTTTAATTTTAGGGAAGAGTCTACAGGGTGTTCAGGGCTTCACTACTAGATCGGACTTGAAGTGATCTGCCTGTTTACAGCATCCCAAAGCTGGGATTACAGGTACATGCTACCATGCCCAGTCTCAACTGCTGTCTCAGCTAACCCTGGGAGCGGGGCTGGCAGGCCAGGTCTGGGGATTGAACCCCTGGTCCCTGCACTTTAATCCACTGAGCTATTTGGCTGGCCCAGTGCCTGATAACTTTAACTTAAACTGTTTCTTTTGTAATCTTTGGTCTCTTATTTGCATATTTCAAGACATAAGAAGATGGCCACAGGTTACACTAAACTGTCGAAGAGATTTGAAGCACAAGTGTCAAGAGTTTCTGCATATCTGTAATCTCAGTAGGGGAGGCTGAGGCAGGACGATTGCAAATCTGAAGTTAACTTGGACTAATTACATACTGTTTCAAAAAACAAGCAAGTAAGAAACAAAAAAAATTCCACTAAAACAACTTGTCATGATTTGCGTTCAGTTGTCTCCTCAGAGCCTCAGGCAGTCACTGGGGCAGGCTTGTATAGTCTGGGATTAATTCATGATCCAATCCTCGGATCATGGGTGTGGGTGCCACATCTGCCCTGGGGTGACAGCCTGAATGCAATATAAGGAGGGGAGAGAGGCCTGCTAGCTGCCGCAGCTGCTGCTCCTCCCTTTGCTCTTTGCTGTTTTCTGAATGGCTGCCCTCGGCAATGCGCTACTCTGTCTTGGAGCCAGTCAAACAATAGGTTGAAACCTCCACTAACTCTGATATAAATAAATCTTTCCTTCGTTAATTTTAGGTGTCAGGTATTTTGTCCCAGTAATGAGAGAAAAGCAACTAAGATAACAACCAATAAAATGAAAAGACTCTCTGGTCTAGAGGGGTACTGGGCCCCAGGAGAGGACTACCTGGTCATGGAACCTGAAAGGTCCTTCTGAGCCTGATCCTACAGCAGGTGGCTAATGCACTGCCACTGGGAAGTGACAGTGGACACCACAGGGACAGCGAGAGGAGGACAGTAGGAAGTTCCTGTGCGTTTTTCCTGCTGATCCCTGACCCTCACGGCAATGTGCTTCAGGAGGTTCCATGTATCATTCTGAATCTGCCATCTCTGTGCAAATTGCTCTCCTGAAATTCATTTTGGCCAGGCCACGGCGTCTCCAGAGTTCAGTTCAGCCCTTCATTTGGAAGTCCCTCTGCTATCAGGGAACTTTCCTGCCTTCTGAATCTTCTCATCTGACTATAGGGCCAGCCCTTCCTAACCTTCTGCTTCTCTGGCTGCTGACTTCTGGAAACATTCTGGTGGTTCCAGGCCCAGAGCCAAGCACGTGATCTGGTCAGGACAGAGGCCAGCAAGACAGTGACTCCTCCCTTACGCTGGACACCCTGAGTCAGCTGACACTGCTTGTTCTTTTTTTTTTTTTTTTTTTTTCTTTTGTAAATGTTTTTCTTTTTAAATTTTTTTAATAGATTGCAAATTGAAATTAAATTATTTAGGGGCCGGGGAGACGGCTCAGTGGAATAAACACTTCCCTGTCAAGTGCAAAGGCCTGAGTTCAATCCCTGATTCCACAAAAAAAGCAAAACAAAACAAAACAAAACAAAAACAAACAAACAAAAACCCCGAAAATAAATTATTTACAAACATAAATGAATATAACAATAAAAATTGTCCAAAATAAAAATGAAGAATTTACAGATCAGTCATAATAGGTCACTGTGTCAAAACCAAGAAACTTATATTCATATAATTAGAATTCTAAAAGTAGAAAGGAGTAGGCAATAAATATTTAAAAACTTAAAATTTCTAAATTTAGTTCAACTTATAATACCGCATTTCCAAGAAAAATGAACCTTTTGCACAAGAAATTTAAATAAAATCATACCAAGATACACAAAAATGAAATTGTCCAGAACTTATTGTGAAGAAAAAAATCATTAAAGCATATACATAAAAATATTAACTATGAAAGAACAAAAAAAAGGGGCTGGGGAGATGGCTCAGTGGAATAAGTGCTTGCCTGGCAAACACAAGGGCCTGAGTTCAATCCCTTGTGCAAAAAAAAAGAAAGAACAAAATTAAATAGTATCTTATTCCACATTAGAAAGAAAAAAAGGACCAAGTGTGTAAGAAACTAGAGTAATTAAAGGACTGAAAGAAAAGATCTGTCCTCTTTGAATTTTATACTTAGCAAACATATCTTTGAAAACTAAAAGATTTTCTAGTTATACAAACTTGAAATATTTTAATACCCCCAGAAGCAGCATATAGGAAATAACAAAGTGCATAATTCAAAAGGCAAGAAAAGTTGCAGTATTGTCCTGGATGAAAAATAAAGAGCTCTCAATGTGATAGTTATGCAGGACTATATAAAACATATTAGATGAACCCTTATTTAATGGTCATTGCAGATTTCTATGTAACAGTACCAATCTTATGTTGGGTTATACTTTTTTTTACATATATATGTGTGTATGTGTGTATAAGACAGGGAAGAAGTAATATAAAGTCAACAGAAAATGGAAATATGTGGAGGACCACCTGAGCAGCTCTCCTTGGAAAAGAGCGACTGTCTCCATTTTGACTAAGCCTGATCCTATTTCCTCATACTGTTCTGTACAGAGCTGGCTAGGACTTCTGTTTATCCTTCAGTTGGCCTTCAGCAATGTATATTGGTCTAGCTGAGGTGCTGGTGATAGTCTTTAAAGGTGGCGTGTGCTGACACTGCTCACACTATATCAGCCATGTCATCTGCTGTGCAGACCTGGAACTGTTTTCTAGGAATGGGACCTGCTCCCATGGCAACACTTCACATGCAGACAGCAAAGTGTGAGATTCAGGATTCTTTTTGTGACATGTCCTTCCCTGAAGTGTCTTTTCACAACAATCACATCGCAGTGATTGCTACACACTCCTGGCTTATCTATCAAACCTCAGCTCCCATGGGGTTGGAAACCCTTCTGCTTCCTGTACTTCTCACAGTCCACAAGGCTCGAGCCACTGGCTGTGCTGAGTGCCTGTGGTCTGGGTTTGACAAATGTCCTGCCCAGAAGCTCTAGCTTCTTTGTACCCAAGCTGGGGCAGGGCAGCAGGGAGTTCCTTTTTCCACCCAGGACAAATGCGTATTGATAGGGATTCCGGCAATGGGACAGCCAGCTGGGGGTGGAGGAGCTCCTGCCCCACACAGACCTCTGAGAGAACACCTCAGGGAGTGACCACATTTACTCTGAGACCTGACCACATCTGAGGGGAAGGGAAGAAAATGGCAATCGCAAATGTTGGCCAGTGAGGGAACCCTGCCTGCTCCCAGAGATGTGGAGAAAGAGGTGCATTTAGGAAGGTCTGGTTCTTGGGACTGGGGCAGGGAGCTGAGAGAGTCAAGGAAAAGATGAAAGCAGGGGAAGTCTTGACATGTCTGGTGAGAAGACACAGAGAACCTGGTGCCATCCACAGGCCCAGGGGACCAGGCTATAACCAGTGTCAGCAGCAACAGGGCTAGGAAGCCCCTACTAGAGAAGAGAAAGCCCTTTTATCTGAAGTCTCATTTCTGCCTGAACTGTTTCTGGTTCTGGCTCTTGAGTCCTTGGGCAGGACAGAACATGAGATGTAGATAGAGGCTGAATGTATGGCTCAACCAGGTGGTCCTGCTGTGACCCCAGAGCCCCTGGGAAGGCCCGCAGGAGGCAGCTGAGTGGCAGGGAGAAGGGTCAAGCTGTGCCGGGGTCAGAGAGCAGACTGCCCTGAGCATGGCAGTAGGACTGAGATAGGAGCTTCAGGGCTCCTCCATGAGGTAAACAGGAGGTGCTGCAAGACCACCAAGACAGGCCAGAAGTATAGGCAAGCACTTGCTGAGTGGGCACAGCAGGAAGTTCAACCACTTTTGCCTGTGGTGTCACACCTGCAAAACAGACGGAGGGCTTGAGAAGTTCCCCCAGATCTCATGGTGGTGTCATCCCAAGGCTTACCATTGCGGCCACCTGTGCAGCTCACAGTACCAATGACTCACACAGGTGGCCCCCTCTGGTAACATTCACTGATGGCCTGAGGGTGAGCTCAGCAACCAGCTCTCCCACCTTTTCAGCCCCTTGCCCTGACCCATTACTAAATGGAAGCACAATGGTTTTCCTGAATGAGATTTCTAGACCCCACCTCTCCACAGGCAGCCCTGAGCCAAGTCTCTAGTCCTACTTCCGCAGAGGCTGGACCCAGTTCAGCCAGAGGGAGAAACTCCCAGGGGCTTGCCCTCTCCGAGGGTGCGGCCTCCCTCCTCCCCCCAGGGTGTTCTGGCTTTCTCCTCTGGTAGGTCTGCCTGGACAGGCTGGGCTGGCAGGCTGCCTCCTGGGGAAACGGAATCTCTTTGTATCTAAGAGTCCAGCAACCTTAGGGGCTCGGTGTCAGTGGTATAGGCTGCTCTGCCCAGTTGTCTCTTCAGGTTGAGGAGGAATACCCTGGGGCCAGGAGGCAGGCTTTGGCTGAGCTGACCAGGCCTGGGTGGCTGGAAGGGCTCACAAAATGTGGAAACAGAAGGCTTAGTCATCATCTCATCAAAATTTCTTATTTGACAGAAGAGAAATGCATGGCCAGAAAAAGCTTGAGGGACACAAGAGCTCCTCAAGTACTGAGACATGGGCAATTCCCAGGGCTGGCACCTGGAATGGCCACATCTGGCTCTGCGTTCCTCCCCTGACTTGTTTCCTATGATGTTCATTCTTATTCCATATTCTTCTTCCTTCCTGGTGGGGGTGAGGGTGTCCTCCTTGGTTTATGAACACCCATGAGGAAGCAGCTCTGCCAGCAGAGGCCTGCCCCATCTAGGGTTCCCTGGGTGTGGGCAGGCAGGCTGGTGAACAGGGTGCCCTGGCTGAGCTGTATCACTTCCTGTGGGCCCTGCTTAGTGCAGCATTCTAGGTGTTTTGTGCCTGTGTGTGGCCAGGGTGGCAGGCAGATTCAGGAAGGGGTTGATGTGGCTGGCTCAGGCCAATCAGCTGCATATCCATTCCCACAGAATCTCTGCCATTTCTGCTTGTATTTCCAACTTGTCAAGCCTAGAAAATCAAGTTTCTCCTTGCTAGCCATCTAAAGAGGGATCTGGAGAAGGGCCAGGGTTTCCCCACTGCTATAGAGGCCTGAGGCTTGTGAGCAGGTGGTGCTGACTTTCAGGAGGCTATGAGATTGAGCCCTCTCATCTCCACAGATGAGAAGGCCTTCCCCAGTCTCAAACTGTCCAAGAAGAAGGTAGGGCAGGGACTGTCGTGGAATGTCATGTCTATTTCATAGGCATGAAGAGACTAAGGGAGGCCCAGTGACTCATCTCGTCCCACGGCTTTCAAGCCTTGTGCTCTTTCTACTACACTGCCCTCTGGACTGCAGGCTTCCCCAAACTGGCCCCACAACTCCTCTGAAGCAACTATCCAGCCAGTTCTTGGAACCCAAGGGTGGAGACAGGTACCAGGGACAAAAGCTGGAGCTGGTAGGAAAGGACAGTGACTCTTCTCTAACAGAGGCCAGGTGGTGCCAGGCAAGATTGCAGGCCCACGTATGAAGGGAAGTCAGGCTCATTTGCCCAACCTGGTGCTACAGCCTACAGAAGCTGGGGAGGGGGCTGAGCCTAGGGAGAGGATGCCTTACTAAGAGCCTCTCATCACAATGGAGTGACAGGTTGGCTTTGGCTCTTCAGATGCAGAACCTAAGCAACATTTGGGAGAACCGGCTCTGAAATGGGCACTGGTCCAGGAAGACAGAAATAGATAGACTGCATGGAGACAATACACAGAAGATGCTAGGGAGGGCTGAGAACACAGCCAGGAAAAGGAGAAGTAGCCAATTCCCCAGAGAGGTGAAAGGCTAGCCTGACTGGTGTTTTTTCCTACCAGGGCCATGCGATGTCTGCTTGCAGCCTTCCAAAAGCTGCTGAATCAGTGGAGAAGAGCTGACTTGGGATTCCAGCACAGTTCATACGCACTTCCTCATCCAGTGGCCCCAGACTTCTGAGAAGTTAGGAGAAGCATCATGCTTCTTTCACAGGCCAAGCACTCAAGCTGGCTCCAGAGGGAAGAGAAGCAGCGTGAGGACAGGGTTCCCTGCTCTGAGCAGAGGCTTGCTGCCCAGTCCTGGGAGGACACCCTCAGACATAGGCTTGCTGTTCTTGGGGAGAAGAGAGAGAAAAGCCCAAGAAGGCAGGATTTAGGGATCTTAACAGGACAAGAGGAAAGTCCTAAGGCCTGGATGCTAGCTGGCAATAATGGTTGATATATTGTGTTAACTTGAGAAGTTTAACTCAGTAGGGGACCAAAGTCCTCATTTTGTAAACATTCTCATCCTGTGCAAGAGAACAGGGAGATGGTGTGAGTGCTACACCTGGCCCAGGGGTGGTGTGTGTGTGTGTGTGTGTGTGTGTGTGTGTGTGTAGGCTGCTTACAATATGAGGGAGGAAAAGAGGCTTGTTCTCCTTTTTTGCTCTTGCTGTCTTCTGCTGCCCTGAACTGTTTTCCCTGTGCCATGCCACCCTGCCTTGGAGCCAGCTGATTGTAGACTGAAACCACAAACTGTGAGCTAAATAAATCTTTCCTTAAGATCATTTTGTATTTATATATACAAAATAGGATAAATTTGCAGTTACTTTTGCTTAACTCAATGAGAAGAAAGAGGTGTACTAATAGTGTTTGGACAGAATATCCTGTCTGCTTCTTGTACTATGGATAACCATTAAGAAGACAACAATGTACAGTGTATTGACTATCAAAACTGTCCTATTAATCAGCTGTGAACTGTCTCATTCATATTTATTTCTCAATAAAAAATATATATAAAAAATAAAACATAGCAGAAAAGCACAAAAAAAAAATAAATCTTTCCTTCCTTAATTTTGGGTGTCAGATATTTTATCTTAGGAAAGACAGAAAAGTAAACAAGATACCCTCATTCCTCACTGACCAGAAATAAACTTTTTCTTGGGGCCTCCCCTGTAAATTGGAGGATGAAAATGAATTTTTGTTTCTAATATTCTAAGCACCCCTAAATGACTTGCTACTGCCACTGGTGGCTAGGAGAACAGATTGTACAGCTAGACCACAAGGAGTCAAAAGAGACTCTGCCAGCTAGTATGAGTTGGATTTGGTAACTTTACCATACCACACAGCAGTTTCCTCATTCAGATATAATGAGTTTTAAGAGCGTGGTTATAAGAATTCAGAGTTTGCATGAAAGGCGCCCAGAGCAGGACCAGGTGTGGTAGGTCTGGGCGTGCCCTGTGAACTGGCTGACCATGCTGATTGTGATCTCAGGCCAGTATTTCTGTGCCCAGAAGAAACTGCAGGTCAGAGATGAGACCTTCAACCCATAATTCACATCAAGATGTTATGCTGCTCTCCTTTGTCCCTTCTAAGAGCATCCTCTTCATAGTTTGGATTTAGAATACTGCTTAGCATCCAACTCTGGGGCTTGTTTCAGGGAGGGAAGCTCCTGAGAAGCCCTAGGTTTCAGGGCAGGGGACAGAACCAAAGGTTGGGCCTCTCACCTGTGAACCTGTTTCCCGATTCTCTGGCAGTTTCCAAGAGTGGCACCTCTGGGGACTGAAGGCCCCCTGGCTTGCTATCTGACTGGTTTGAGCTTTTGAAGAAAGGAGCTGACTCAGCGGCTTAGTCCAGTAGCCAATAGCCAATTAAGATTCTCCTTGGGGACAGCAACCTTGGAAGACTTATAGCTATGCTCTAATTATTTGACTAAAGCTCTGGCTAGGGTGACAGTTTGGTGGAGGACTTGTGCTGTGTTGAGGTCCAGACTGAGATGGGAACCCTCAGTCATGAGGTGTGAGCTGGAGGACCCAGGAGGCCAGCAGCTCTCTACTGGACACAACTGATCTGAGGTGAACCAGAGATGGATCGGCCCCACCTAGAGCTCCTTTAGGGGAAGAAGGGACACTGCAAATGCCATGTGTCCACCTCTGACTGTTTAAGCACCTTGAAATCAAGAATCTTTCCTTTTACTCTGTAGGTATCTTATACATATATGGTGAATTGAATATTTCTCTCTCAGGTCTGCTACATACAAATGGCTCAAACATGAGTAAGAAACAGCTGCACCCTTCAAGAGGTTCACAGGTTTTTTCTTTGCAGGCAGAAACCCTGATCTTGTGGGGCAGGTCACTCTTCACTCTTCCACCTGGCCCTTTCCCTCACGCTCATTCCTTCCTCCTAGATGCTAGCAGCAGCCAGAGCGGCTTTCCCTGCCCCAATGCCTCCATGTTGCCCTCCAGGTTGCCCATACTGTTTTTTTTCAATCAGACTTTCAACGTGTCAGTTCCCGGCTCAACAGGCTCTCTCAGAATAGATAAAATCCAGCCTGACATCTGGGGCTGGTTACCAGTGACCGAGCTAGCTTTCCCTGTCTGCAAGTATGTGCCTCCTACGTATCCCCACCTAGGCGGCAGGGCAGCTCCCACCCCTCCGCCACAGGCGCCCGAGGGCTGCCTCCTCACGGCTGCCTCTGCCTGCGCCCGCCCGCTCGCTCACTGGTCACCCGGCCGCACGGCTACTCCAGCTAGTTCGCGTGCCGAATCCCGGCGTCTTCTCCGCCGGCCCCGAGCGCCGGCCGCCTAGAGGAACTGCTCCAACCCCCTGGCTCAGATGAGAAAACAGATGCGCAAAGTCTGGCTGTGGAATAAGGCCGACTCGGAGCGGGAGCTCGGATACCCCGTCCGGCTCCGAGTTTCCCCGGCCTCTCGCAGCCCGTGGGTGGTCCACAAACAGCGGGAGCGGGTGAGGCCGAAAAACAGGAGGGAAGGGACCGAGGGAGTCGCCAGCAGCCCCCGCAGGCGCCCTCCCGGCCAGGCCCTGACTCACTTTGCCGAAAGCGTGTTGATGGAACCGGTGACGAGCATGAGCCCGGCCAGGAACAGCTGGTACTTAGTCCAGGCCATGGTAGGGACCGTGGGAGCCCGCAGCAGTCTATGCCTCCGCCCGGTCACCCGGGGGTCTCCGGCGCGAGCGCTTCCGGGCCGGGCACCACGTGACCCACTCGCCCCGCCCCACGCCGCTCGCCCCGCCCTCCGCGCGAGATGCTTCCAAGTCTCAGCGAGGGAGCTCTGCGGTCCATCGCTGGTACCCGCTGGTTAGTTTCAGCTCTGTAGTCCCAGTCCAGTATTTCCCGCTTCCTTCTCCCACCCAGTTCTTTCTTCTTTACGGTGCTGGGGATTGAAGCCAGGGCTTCGCGCATGCTAGGCAAGCGCTGTGCCACAGAGCTGTACCCCTAGGCTCTGGCCTCCCTGTTTGTAAAAGGGGCTGATGGGGCGAAACGGTGAAGATGCAGCATAGGTTATGGCTCATTTTGTAAACCCTTTGCAGAGGCTGAGCTGAGCCATGTCTGACACTAGTCAAGCAGTGGAAGCACCCTCTCTCCAGGGCCCTCAGGGAGGATCTGGAGGCCTGGGACGTGTTCTTAGGGATCCCAGCTCTTTGAGCTGCTCACATCTCCCAGCAAAGTGGAGTAGGAATCTAGTTCCAACTGCTAGGGAAATCCTTAACCAGGTGAAACTGACACGCTTGTACGTCCTAGAGGGGATGGGAGTTGGACTCAGATTCTTTCATCTCAGAAAGTACGCTCCTTCTGCGCAGCCCCTGGACTAAGCTGGCCCCGTTGAGCTCCTTGATGAATCTAGGTACTGCTCAGAGGCAAACAGTCACCGAGGTTGTCCCTAGGTTTGTTTGCAGAGGGCTTTTGGCGTTTAGAATCCTATCCCCCATTCTCACCAGTGCCAGCTGTCTACTTTCTTAGCTCTCCAGGCTGTGTTCTACACTGTTATACCAGAGAGGCAAGACTCCTTTGTGGAAGGCTTTGACCTAGTACACAGATGTACCCCATTTGTGCAGAACTTATGGAGGTAGGTCCTGTCTGTTTCTTCCTTCTGCTTGCCCCCAGACTGACTTGAGTTTGTGAACATGGCCAGAGAGGACACAGAAAAACCTTCAAGGGTCTGCACCAGAACTGCCCAAGTCAGGAAGAACTATTGGCTCTTATAAATAAGGGAGGTCCTGGACAAAGGAGATCACTGGTTAGTAGACAAGGGGAGGGCTTTCATGCAGGAAGGAATGTAAGCTCATTAGCTGAGAGGCACAAGTGAATGAGGACCCTGTCTGGGCCTTGTGGATAGTCCAGAATTCTACTCCATTGGTGTCTGCTGCCTTCAGTCAGCAGGGGGATAGGAGATCCAGGGGAAAGTTATCCTGAAGTTTTTGTCTCCAGCAGCACCTCCAGTTTTATGTGACTTCAAAGGTATTTATTTTATTTATTTATTTTTAATGTCTTTGGTACAGGGTCTCACCACGCAGCTCAGACTCTAGTGATCCTCCTGTTTTCAGCCTCCCCATTGCTGGGATTACAGGCGTGCACCACCACGCCAAGTCTTGGTCTTGGTGGCTGGCTCAGCACAACCAGGGGCAGGACTGGCACTGCATGTGGTGCCAGGGATCAAATCTTGGTCCCTGAGCTTGTCTAAGCAGGCGCTTAGTCTGCTGAGCTATCTTGCTGGCCTGGTATTTATTCATCAAACATTTGTTGAGACACTGGGCAGTAGAATGAATGAAACACAGCTGTCCTCAGGGACAGGCTGGGGAGCCTACACCAGCTGACTGTCCCCTTTCATGGGAAGCAGTTCATTACAGGCAACACTGACTCACTCAGTAGGGCTCTGGACCATTTTCCCTGCTAGTGATATTGGTGGCTCTATTTTGCATAATAAAATGAATTCTAATTTTTCAAAATGTCCTAAGCATTCCTGAAATGGCTATCTCTGGAACCTGGGACAAAGGAGAATTTATTGACAAAAATATGCAGAGTCCATTAAATTTAAGGCCCAGAGCCAGAATGTGACCCTGAAGAACAGCCAGATGTCTTACTTTTAGGGAAGAGAGTTTTGTAGAGGTTTCAGTTCATAATTGGCTGGCTCCATGACAGACTCGTGCTGCAGAGAAGCATTGCAGAAGAGAAATAGTTCATGGTGGACAGAGGACAGCAAGGAAGATGGCAGCACCCGTAAGGCCCCTTAATCCTACCCAGAACTATGCCAAACCATCAGTGGACCACTGTGGTAATCACACATCTTTGATCCCAGCACCACATACTCCAGATCCAGCCTCTCTGAAAAGCCTTATTTATGACTGTATGAGGCTTTGGGGGGACAGCTAGATACAAACTATGACCCCAGACAAGATCATTGTCCTCCAGGAGTTTATTATTCAATAGAAGAAGGGGGTGAGTATTACCATTAACCATGTGAGAAGAGGAGAGAATCTGGGAGGAAGGGAGAGATTCTTGAGGGAGCAGTGTTCCAGGGGGGTGACAGTGACAATCAGAAGTATCTTGCATTAGGTACCCAGTCTGTATCAGGCCTGTGCCCAGAGCTTGACCTCCATGGGCTCAGTTTTCATACCAGTCCTTTTCAGCACCAAGACTGTTTTGCTTACCAAGTGAAACAATCACATAAGTGAGTTTTGAAAGAAAATTTATCCATAGGGTGGCAAAGCATGGAGGTGAGACCTCATGTCTCACATCTGCTTCCCTAAAGAGTAGAGTTTGGGGATATTTATGGAATAAAGAATCAGAGCTGGGCATGGGGTGTATGTCTATAATCCCAATACTTGGGAGGTTGTGGCAGAAGGATTGTGAATTTCAGAACAGTGTGGGCTATGAGTTCAGGACCAGCCTAGACTACATATGGAGATGCCATTTCAAAACTAACCACCCAGCCAAGCAACCAACCAAACAAACATCCAAAAGAAGCAGAGTGGTGTGAAGCATGGGAAAAAGTCATTGAAGGGAAAATCATTAGTGACCTGCCTACATGTTATCCAACTTGTTTGTGCCTTCGTGTTCAGAAAAAGGTGTCATTAGCACAGTCTCAGGTGAGCCTTCTGACTTCAAAACATTGTTTATTGGATAGCTGCATAGGCACAAGTGAAGAGTGGTGGCTTCAACAAAAACTGCCTTTGAGTCCCTAAAAAGAACCTTTGGTTATCGTCACAACCAAAGTATCAGAGGTATTATTTATAGCAACATTGGTGGGAAACTAATACTATATAGCTCAGTGGTATGGGCTCCAGAATTGGTGATTTTTAGTCAACTAAATTTAAGTAACTAATGGGGAGCATGAAGGCTGGAACATAGGAAGTAGTAAAGAATACAAAGCTTAGTACAGATGAAACTCAGCCTGTTCTGTTTGTTGACTGGTAGGTTAGTTACTTTCCTGTTACTGGGACAAAATACACAACACCTATAAATTAAAGGAGATAGCTATTTTGCTTATGGTTTCAGAGGGTTCTGTGAATGGATGGTCAGTTGGCTCTCAGGCAGAAACGGCATGGTGGAAAGGCGTGGCAGGGATGAGGGGAGATGCTCAACCAATGGCAGCCAGAAAATGAGAGGCAGGAAGGAGGAGAGA